ATTTTTATTATAAAGATTATTTTGCATTATTAGCTTAGCATATTGATATTGGACTAACTCTCATAAGTTTATTATTGGGATTGCGGACGAAAATATCGCTAAGATAATATTGTTAAGAATTCCAGAATGGAGCTGATTTTTAGTTATCAGTATTTATGTATCTAGCTTGCTTTCATGAAAATTAAGTATTAATTGTTATCAAGCAACCCCAACCGGAAACTCCGATCTAAGTACTTCGAATATTGCGTTAAAAGTGTTAAAAGTATTCATGTGTTAAGAAAGGGTATTCGAATCACTTCGCAAAGGCGGTTATATCAGTCACATTAGCTTGTTTTGATCTTCCATGATGGCTGTTAAATATTACAAACACTCTTACCTCTTCCACTTCTTCCTACAAATCTTAGATCATTAAACTTGGCCACTTGGTCCTTCATGACGGCTGTAGCGTTTCGTAGTTCAGCTGAATAATTCTCGTCATTCCCAGCCCGAATCGTCACAATAGTCCCATCTGAGATGTCCGCTAGGGCAATCACCTTGAAAGCCACAGGTAAAGTTTTATTGGAACGCCAGTGTGAAGGTAGCACTGAACAAATCAGGCTGGGACTGCCCGTCTGTACAAGTTCCCCCGGGTGTTCGCTGAGGACTTTGTGCAGAGTGCGCTCCCCAGAAAACATCAAATCGGTCATGGTACGGACTGGTACGGCTGAGGAGCCGAATAGATCTGCGGGCAAGCGCATGAGGTTAGAAATAGTGTCCACTTGACAATGAGTTGCCGCTAGACGAGCACATGTGAGTGGTGCGAACTGTTGATTGCGGTTGACATACGATGTAGGTGTGCCAACCAGAGTACTCAAACCAACATGCAACTTCCCCGTATCTGCCAGCCTTCGATAGCTAATAACAAGTAATAGCTCCCTCTCTCGGGTGATGTCGGAATATGTATTATTGAGCGCATTAAATGTAGTTGCCGACAGAAAAGTAGTTCCAAATTATATGATTTCAGAAAACAACAACGAAAAAAAAAAGGAGCTAGAGTCATAATATCATGCTTGTGAAAGATTTTAGAACACATTTAAACAAAATAACAGTATTATACAAAATCATGTCCGTTTGTGTGGGCGGGAAACTTTTTTTTGACGTACGAAGACTTCTTCATAGGGTCAGAGTAAAAAAACAACAACACACACACACACACGTATATTGTAATATATATTGAAAATAATACGTTTGTTTCAGAAGCTTACTCAAAGCTACACAAAAGGCTTTCTGCGAGTAGCCATTCCTAAATATTTGAACTGATAGGCTAGAGGGGAAACAGCTAGTCAACAGCAACCACCGCTATTTTCTGAGGTACTTTTGTTTGTTTGAAGGTAAGCACAAAGCTACACAATGGGTTATCTGTGTTCTACCCACCACGGGAATTTGAATTTATTATATATAGATTCTATAAGTAAATACATGTTTTTCTATATATGTGCAGGTCCTCGTTGGTATTAGTTATTAACATTCAAACATTATGTACAGATATAATAACATTTGCATTGTTCTTTTAGCGCTCTGTCTACCGCCCTGGAAATCGAACCCCGGACTTTAGCGTCGTAAATAAAATGTGTACATTTCGAAATGCTTCCTGGTGACTCAGTGGTAGGTCTGAGGGGCTATAAATTTGGTTTTAATACCCTCCATGGGCAGAATACAGATAGCCCATTGTGAAGGTTTGAACTTAACAACAAACTTCAAAATTATCAAGTAAAAAAATTGGGTTTTAATACCCTCCGTGGGCAGAATACAGATAGCCAATTGTGGAGGTTTGAATTTAACAACAAACTTAAAAATTGTCAAGATGTAAACAAGAAAGCAAAAGGCTGTGTGTTTAATTTCCCGTAAAACATTTATTTCTTTTTGGGTGGGGGGGGCGAATTCTAGAAGCATATATATATATATATATATATATATTCTAAATGACTTTGAGATGTTTGATGTAAGTTACTGCAAATAAAAAAAGAGAAATAAAGCCTAATATAATTTTATTTCAACTGGCTTAAAAAACTGTTGTATTTACAAAAGAAATGCTTGCAAAAATGCAATTAAAAATGAAGATTTCACAGTAAAACTAGAGGATTTTACAGGATTTCCTTCACTTAGTGGGGAATAAGATACATATATTCTTGGGAAATTATTACGTGGGATAACGTGACCTAGTGGTTAGTGCTTTAAACTCGTAATCGGAAAGTTGCGGATTCAAGCCTTGCCTAGGACCTGTTGTTGTGTGCTCGAGCAAGACTATTTACCCCAATTGCTTTATTCTACCTGGTTGAATAATAGGTAGCTGAGGGTTAATCTACAATGGATTTGCATCCCACCCAGCGATGATTGTGCCGCCATTCTCGTCCGCTTGTGCCACAGGATTAACTTCTTTGGTATTGAGCGAGAGGCCTTATCTATATGATTATACATTCTTCTTTAATTTCACTCAGAAGTTATTTTTCAAAACTATTGTTAACAAAATCCTTTATACGAAAAGCTGCTCAGTTGGTTGTCTAAAGTCTTGTGTCAGTAATAACCTATCAGGAACCGAACGTGGCACGACTAAACAATAAATAGAGCTCATTACTACGATGTCTAGCAGAGGCTAATGAAGACCCTCATACAATTCTTGTTTTCTTCACTAGTGACACAGCTTAGCCTTCCGAGTGTATTAGCACACGATATGCACATTTGGCCAGATTCACAAAGCCCAAGATCAGAAGCATATAAAGTTCCAGTAATCATATCGCACTGTTATATCCTATCTCCTATAACGTGTTAACACACATTCTAAATTTGTAGTTCCTGTATTTTTCTTGGGGAAGTTAATTCTTTTCTATCTCGTCTCCTTTCTATGAAGCGAGCTTTTTCTTAGAATTTCTTAGCTTCGTTGGTGTAAATGTTGTGTCCGCTCTTTAATCGCGCTTTTTTTCAGTTTTTGGAGTCTTTCTTATTTTATACCTCATCCATAGTCCAACCAGTCTAATATACAGATTTTAAGGGTTTAATTCTTTTAAACTTCGAGGGCAAATCTAATTAACTTTGTTTTCATTATTTAGTTTTAATTCGGTCATTTACAATTTCATCTTAATATTTTTACGGTGTTACTTAATAATTTTTTAAAACTTTGTATGCTATGTAATGTTAAGCGCTAAATAAAGATATGCGATATAAAGGGTCAAAAAGTTTAGTATCTTCAATTCGTCAGTTATAGCTTTCAGCTCGTTGTTGTCAATTAAATCCTCGAAACTTTGATTACACAGGCCTGCGATAGTTTTATTGTCTTGAAAGTTTTACTTGTTCTACAGTAATTCCTGTATGCTGAGCTTAATCCGAAAATGATATTAATTTTTCTCCATCACATACAGATTTTTCACAAACCGTCATAATGCAATACATAAAAGAAATACCACAACACGAGGTTTTGAGACTAAAAAATGTAGATCTTACACACACAAAATCAGGATGAATGAAGATGCATATTTGTTTGACATCAGTGTTCTTCCCTTTTCTTCAGTTTGTTTTTATTTTTGTCAACAAACAT